GAGTGATAATTATGCAAAACCTTTTAACCTTACATAAACAGTATCATACATTAATCATTTTTGCTTTTTGCAAAAAAATCTGCCTTTGTAGCAGCAGTAAGCAGTCGTGTTTGTCCATTCCTACTATTGAACGCTTAATCTGTTGTTTAGCAAGTATACAGGTTTGCTGAAGATTGCTGTTGTAAACTTTTATAGGGAGTTGACAGCAATGTGGTGTGTTTGGTGGTATAAAGCTTATTTCTGCATCACCACTGTAGGTTGAACTTTCCTTTGATGCAGACTGGTTGGGCCAGTTCCTGGTTAAGTTAAAAACCAGTTTGACTGGCCTGTTATGCCAACAAATTCTAGTCCCAGTCCCAGAGAATGTACAAACCTGCTCAACCAGTTACATGAAAGGCATATTGGGTTATCCATTGTGCATTATATATATACCCCAGCAGAAGCAAGGAGCTCGAGCAGAGCAGCGGCTTTCTCAGTGTGGTCCAGGTGTCTGCCTCCCTCCTCTTAACATGTGTGTGAGGATCATAGCTTCAGGGAATGCCAAGACTAAAAGTTCGCTAATGACAAGTTTTCTCACAGTTTAAACTTCAAAGGTACGTAGCACTGAATCCCTCTGGATCTTTGCTTAAGCTAAGATTTTAAATGTAAATGCTTATATTGTTATTAAGGTGGCTTTGACAAATGTGGCTTGTGAAGCACTTAGAGAATTTCTCTCTGAAACTTTTGTAAATAAGTAAATTAATGTCAAAGTGGGAAACAATTGATTTTGTTAGTTGTATCCATTATGTTAGTCTACTGTTCAGAAAAGTGCTGACATTTAGATTGAGCAATTGTGGTACATAAAGTTGCAAACACAGAAACTGGAATTTTTCTGCCTTCCGTTTGATAACTGATTAACTAGTCCAGTAGTAGGTGAGAAGCTGAATAGAAAGGAATGAGGGCATGTGTTGTCATGCCTGACAATACTGCAGACATCTAGCTTTGAGGGAAATTATGCCTTTCATCCTGGCCATTGAACTCGGATCCTGATGCATTTGGGAAATTAAGCTCTTCAAGTTGTAAATTACATAGGCAACTTTCGTGGTGCAGTAGCTCTTTCAGTGCAGTATGTCCAGATAGTTGCAATGACCGGTCTGTGGCAGCGTTGGGTGACCATTGGTGACAATGGTAAGATGTACAAGTGTGTTCCAGTCAGCAGGGTCAGAAGGCAGTGACGTAAAGGCATTCCGCACCTTCTCTGACTAATCTTTAAGTAGTCTATTTAGAAGGGTGGGACAGAAACATTAGTTTATCAGTGCAGTTAATACAGGTTTTAAGAATTTGTATGTTTTTACCCCATTTGCTGGAAAGTAAAATGGACTACAGAAAAACAAAGATGCATAAATAAACATATTGAAGAGAAGCATTACCAACCCAAATGTAAATGATTTGTACATATTAATCAGACTATTGGTTTCTTGTTTTAATTATTATAATTTACTTTCGTTATTGTTGGCATTCTTTGTTATGAACTGACAATACAGCCATTGACATTTTGCAATAGGCACCGATCGATTTCAACCACTTAACACTGTAGTTTTAACAAAGTCAAAACCTCGTAACCATAATTCGCTTTAAAATATAACAATTTGAACTTGCACAGTCCATGTAGGGAGAATATTTCAAAGCACGTTAGACTAACAACTTGATTTATACAGTGACTTTCACACATATATATAGGGTAAGATCTCGGAGTGCTTTAAACATTTATATAGATGGCGTGGGAGCCTAAGCTGGGGTTTGGATGAGAGGAAACAGTGGGAAGTGGACAAAGAAAAAAGTCAAAAACAGAGGTCTTTAAAATAACAACAATAACTTGCATTTATATAGCACCCTTCACATTGGTTGGTGTCTCGGAGCGCTGAAAAGAAAATGGATTTATTAGAAACGTTTATATGGTTCAATTACAGTTTGGCATTGAATACCTCATTTTGAGTATCAACATTGAAGTACGTACTTTTGACAAGGTCTGTGGCCTTGGTGTGTTCAAACCAATGCTTTCCACAGATATCAAAGGTTGCCTTGTGTAAAATACTGAGTGAGAAGCTCCTTCATAGAATTTGGGATTATATAACTTCAGTGTAACTGCTATCTCTGGAATCTGGTTTGTTGGAATTGTTCTCGTGTGGTAGAATTGATTGGGTTGAATTTTAAGTTCTGTTGGCAGTGAGGATGTTTACTCCGCACTGTGCTTTGCTGTGCAATCCTGTTTGACTTGTAAACTCATCTGCCCAAACAACCTTAAAGTTAGTTATTTTGCACAGATTTTGCTTTTTTGACGATACCAGTCTGTGATGGAACTCTGACCTTCTGTTGTTCTGGGTAAATGAAATTCTTCATTAAAATGCTTCAATGTCCTTTCCTTTTTGTTGCTTTTGTTTAAATGCTCTGGTCGCTACCCTGTGTGAGGGGCAAATACAAGTTCTTGTTGTTGAAAGTGCACACAACAGACAAATTAATCCGCAAAATATAATAATAAACGTATAATGCAACACAGATATGAATGATGCAGGATTCAGGTACTGAATTTCCTTACTCCACACGCCTAATAATAATCCCTCCAAAAACTAAAAACAAAACAATAAATTGGTCATTTTCAAACTACGACTGTTTGTGGGACATTGCTGTGCGCAATTGGCTGCCGCGTTCGCCCACAAATATACAGTCAATTCACTTTACAGTGTGTTCTGTGAAGCGCTTTGGGACGTCCTCCCGACGTGAAAAGCGCTATATCAAATGCAAGGATTATTATTATTATTATTCTGTGAAGCGCTTTGGGACGTCTAGAAGACGTGAAAAGCGCTATATCAAATGCAAGGATTATTATTATTATTATTCCAGGTAAAATTTCAGTTTTCTTTATGTAAAGAACATTATGTAAAGAACGCTGGTATAAAATACTTGATCGCAATCAAGTATATACGTCCAACATCTTGCTAAAGATTTGTATGTGGGTTAAAAACCCGTGAGGGCACTTTGAGCTTCTGGTGCAGTCTAGGCTGAGACTCCAGTACAGTGCAAGGGATGGTCTGCATCACTGGGAGGTACCATCCTTTGGTTGAGACATGAAACCAAGGCCAGTTTATGTCTTCAGGATATTAACAATCCCTTGGCACTAATCAAAAGGAGAAGGAAGTTTCTTCTCCAGTTAAATTAGTCACCTCCTGCAGGATGTTGATGTGCGCAAATTACTTGTTGTATTCGCCTACAAATACAGTCACTACAATTTATAGTATGTCCTATGAAGCAGTTTAGATGTTTGAACATAATATCCTCCACGTGAAATGCAAAGATTATTTTCACGGTTCTAACCATTATTTACAATATCTTCATTGTGTGAGAGTTCTTTTTCCACACCCGTCTTTGCTGAGAAGGGAGGAGAACCCACTCCAGACATGTCACTAGGTGGCTTTTTAAGAGCAGTTGGTGTGGCCAATTTTATTAGTCTCTGGCCTAGAAATGGACTTTCTATCACAACCCTCGCTCAGACCAGTTTACCCACAATAGGCCAGGGAACAGCCTGGAACCTTCCTGGTCTGTATGGCTCAGTGCCAATTCACACGTCGAACAATGCGAGTATGACAAAATCTCCCAAAGCAGGGACTGAATCTTCAGTGCCCCAAGCTATCAAAATATGAGTCAGATTACAAACTGCAACACTAGAAGTCTACTTAGTCACTCAGTCTTTGTGAAAGCATTTCTGGTGGGAGGGGTAAAGTAGACTAAAGCACTGCTTTACCAATAGAAAGTGTGGGATAGTGGCTTGGTGACTAACCAGACTTGGGTGCTGCTCCTAGATGCATAAATCGATTTAAACCTTCTGTAAAAGGGCACTTTGGAGGGCTGAGATCAGCTGCCATGTCTAGATAGGAAGATGATTCACAGTGAATGGCTTGCTGATAGACAGTCTAATATGCTGGACGGGTAGTTGTCTTATGACTTGGTGACCTGACTTGGCCTATCACTAACATCAGAGTAATATTTGTGCATTTTCTCGGAAGCAATGAATTAATATTGCATGAGCAACTGGTGCAGACTGTTAATCCCTCCCCAACAAATGTTATAATAATAAAATAATAATTTATACTATACATGCACCTCCTAATCTCTTCTCATACTCCTGTATTGCATTCTCCCTCAAGTATCAAGAGAAATGTAGAAATTAACAGTAATCCGTTGAGCCCATTATATCTGTGCTGGCTTTTTGAAAGAATAATCCATTTGCCTCTTTTTCTCTTACCCTTACAAATTACTAATATTTCAGTTCAGTGGACTTAAACCTACAAATTTTCAGGTATTGGCTATTAATTGCCATGAAGTAGGTTGGTCACGTGTACAATACAAAATTATGTGACTTAGTGGTTAAGGTTGCTGAATGCAAGGAGAGAAATACTCGGGACCAGACTTCACAAAAATATTCTATTTCAAACTTTTTTAAGAACTGCAGAAAACTAAGACTAAATTTTGTGTAATCTTATATTTTGAGAAAAAAAGGATTCAGACTAAGCTTAAGTGTAATTTCAGGTTTCTGACCAATATTCAATTACCCTTACTGGAAAATGTGTACGTGTGTATGTGCACATGCTTATGGGATATACCTTGGGATATACTCCTGATTTAATACATAAATGCAAATTGCTTTTGTGTGCTTATGTATGTGTCTGGGAATAGGTGAGAAGTTGGGTGGAGAAAGGATACAATGCCTCAACCTACAATAATCACTATAATCAGACTCATGTGAGAAAAATAGCTGCTTAGGTAAGATAATGGAAAGTTGGTGGTATGAATGGAATGGTATCCCAGCATGTGTCACCACCATCAGAGGAAAGGAGAGAGAGAGACTAGGTGTCTAGGAGAGACTAGAGAAATAGTCTGGGGAGAAAAGAGAGAAAATCAATTTTGTGTGCCTAATGTATCGAGACTGATTCTTCTGATCTGAAGACCTAATCTGTTTGCTGCAGGTGAGGACTGTTTATTGAAGAGGATTTGGTAAGTGCAGTATGTAACATTGAAGATCCGCATAGCACCATGAACAACTCCAGTGGTAGCTGCGGTAGCCCAGTCACTGGTGGCACTTCGGAAGCAGATCCATTCAAGGAGATGTGGAGCAAACTGAAGGAATGTCATGACAAAGAAGTGCAAGGTATGTAATGATCACTTCACATCGGATCAACTCAAAATTTAATGGGACAAATGTGGGCTGTAAATGTAAGAATGGGTTTGATTTGGCACCTACTGTAAGTGTCTTTCCAGAGTCGATCGTTCGATACACCATTAAATTGTCTTGTGCACAACATCAATTTAGCAGTGAGGCAAATTATGTTTTGTCCTGCATCTGGTTGACAGTTGTGATCTGAAAGCGAGCCAACAAAAAGACCAAAATGAACTGTTTTATACCTGTAAGGAGAGGAAATAGCATGAAAACAAACCCATGCTTTTTGCAAATAGGTTGTGTGCAGGCATTGTTTTGGTCAGCCAGGTGTCTCGACACATGTGGAAACCGATCACCATGTTCAAGTGTATCGAAACCAGACCTACAGTTTCACATATGCATGCCTCTTAAACATGGAAATTTCCCTGCGTCCAGGATGGAATGCACACACTCTTCCTGGAGGGACTCACCCTGCATACCTTATTCGAGAATATATTGGGAATAAATTGGCGAAAGTCAAAGCTTGGGAACCCCAGATTGTGTTGTTCCTGCTGGAGTTCAACCAGCTAAACCCATGTGAGCACTGTCTAGCAAGCTCTCCACTGCTTGTCCAGCTAGGCCACCCTACCTGTTAGGGTTTTGGCTTGCATGGTTAGCAGAAGCTGGGCAGGTAGAATCCCTGCTCTTAGTGATTGGTCTGCCCTTCCATATCATGCCGACGGGCCAAGCTGGGTGGCTATCCTTGATAGTACAGGCATTGGGTGTGTTGTGTGATACTTTGCCCTTCAAGTTTGCTTGCGAGTTGGACTGGGATCTGACTAATTTTTTTTTGCTTCGGGGACTACCTTACTTTTTACTTTGTTACCTTGAAATGTATAACCAGGCGATTTGACCAGCAGAAGGATGTGATTCTAAATGTTGCTAGTCTGCTTTGAAATGTGTCTCTGGAGCATAAACAAGCTGTTACTCGTCTCCTTGGATATGATCCAACGGGAAAGGTGTGAAAATCAAAACAAAATTTGAATGTCTATTTTCATGGGACCTAGGGTTGTTAGAAAATAGAGGATGGGGGGATTCAAATTAATTCAGAATTTATGAAGCTTGGTGGAAGAGCGAGGAAGAAATGACAGTTTTGCAGAACTGGTGCAAGGCTTTCAAGTGTTCCTGCTATTGTATTAAAATAAATGTCTAGGCGTCTGTTTAAAATCCTTTTCCATTCATCAAGTGTATGTTACCAGGGTGTGGATTTATTGGGTGGAGTTGTCGTGATCACCCCCTGGGCAGACATTTTCAGATTGAGCTGTCATTGAACTGTTTAGATAAACTAACTATTTTCCTACTACACCCGTTGCATGCAAGTATAGCTGAGACAGCTGCAGAAGGAAAAGACAAACAAGACTTGTGCTTGTACTGGAGTCTTTCATTTCTTGCTCTATGACGTTTGTTACAGCCAATTACATCACGGTGTTTGTGCAGATGTTTACAATTGAAAGCGTTGGCAAATGTCTGCTCTTTATTTTAATTAAGTAAAATCATAAACTTTTCCTGAATTTTCTTGACACCAGCATTTTGTTTTCTCTTGTACGGCCTGCAGTCTCTCGCTCTCCATCTTACTCTTGCTCTCTTTCTCTTACTGCTCTCTAGCTGCCGGTGTCTCTCTCTCTCTCTCTCTCTGCCATCAGAAGGCTCAGGTCCTTCCTTAAGTTTAATCAATTGATAAAAATTTCCCAGGAAAAAATACTGTTTATACATCTTGGGTGCCTTTTCTGTCAACGGTGACCCTGCTAGAATACATAAATGTACTTTTACACTGCAAGGTATCTCTGCAATCATTAATGTTTTTCTATAAAAAATACTTTTCTATAAAAAATACAGACATTATCTCCAGCAGTACTAAATTATCACACAGGGGTCTTGCTCATGTCACTAGACTTCTTATATTGCGTTGTCTATGGAGAAAGGAAAGGAAGTCAACGTTTTGACGAAGCGTCGTGGACCTGAAACATTGACTCACTTTCCTTTCTCCATAGATGCTGCCTGATCTGCTGAGTGTTCCCAGCGACTTCTGTTTTCGTTTTCACATTTCCAGCATCTGCAGTATTTAGCATTTTTTTTCTTATATTGCGTCCTTGGCACCAGACTATTTTTGGTCAAACGGGGGTCTGACACATCATAAGATTGGTCTAGATGAAGAAAGCCCTTCAGCTCATTTGATCTCACCCTTCCAGAACACCACCCCAACCCCCCCCCCATCCCCAACATGAAGCTGCTTTTTAATGAGTCCAGTCTCCTAACCTCAATCAACTTCCTGTCAACCTGTTCCTGTGGTTAATTACCTTCTGAATACTCATTATCGTGCTTAAGCACCTTGGGACGGCCTCCCGACGTGAAAGGCGCTCTATAAATGGAATCTTGTTGTTGTTAAGTGTATCTAAACTAAACTGAGAAAAATTCCTGATCCAAGGCTCAAGGACCCCACGGTGTGCGTTGGGGTTTTGCTGGTTCAACCATGTAAACCACGTAGCTTGTCATCGAGAAAACTGTCTGGCAAGCTTCCTGCTGTTGTCCAGGTAGGACCACTCTACCTGATAGGGTGGTAGGGCTTTCGATTACAGTGTTAGCCAAGTGGGAAGAATCCCTGCTCTTAGTTACCTGCCAAACCATCCGAGCCCTGCTGACCAGCCAAGCTGGCTGGTCTGCTCTAAGCGCTGCCCTGATTTGAGGAGTAATTGAGGCATAAAACAGTAACCAAAGCGTCTGAACAGGATGAAGTCCACAAAGAGAGTTCGAGCAGTGCACGAGATGAAAAATACAATCTTGTAGAGACTCGTGCGGTGCAAGCTACAAATTGGGTAACACGTGGAAATAATTGAGAAAAATTTAAATCTCTGTTACAAAGGTGCCTGAAGTTTTGAATTGAGATGTAAAAACAATTAAAAAACTGACCAGAAACCATGCAAATTCCAGGATTTGAATTTCCCAGATCTGTAGAATGGTGAGAATCTAGCTGCATTAAAATGTGTCTAGTTGGTCGGCAGCTGTTTGGTTTGTGCGACCTGGTAGATTTCAGGGTTTGGATTACAGACAGTACAGACTTGGCTGCTTTAGTTACTGCTTCTCTTGTCAGTGGCTCAGGTTGCGGTTGTTACAATTCGGAATGCTTTGTTGAACAGAATACCTGTTCATACAGGAGCCGTATTGTTGGGCAGTCTCATACCTTTGAATGGGTGTGGATCGGGATTAAAGTGCACTTTATATGGTTTTAATTGCAGTAACCAATTTGACTTGGAGGAATAGAAAAGGTTTTTTCTTTCCCCTTCCATTTCGCTTCTGGTCCACTTAATAGAACTTGCACATCCCACAGTATCCTAAGATGTTTCAAAGTAATTTAGAAAAAGAAATGCTGTCTGGTAATCGTTGTGTTTCTTTTCTTGTTTTTTTCCAATTGTGGAACAATAATTATGCACACACTTGCTTTCTTCAGTAATCCTTCCTATAATCATGTTTCTGAAGAAGCAATTTATGATTGAAAGGTTTGTCTTCTGGATTTTCTGAGGTATTTGACCCTATCCTGGAGTTTGTTTTGCTATCATCATTGCATGGTTAAAAACATAATTTATAGACTTTAAAAACAGAGCCTTACTAGAGCTGTTGCAAAGGAATTGGGTCGTTGCTGGAACCTCACTTAAGGGGCTGTTCGGATGTGAACCTAGGTACACAATGCACTTCGGAAATCTGACATAGGAAGACATTTCAATCCAGGGGAACTGGCCTATGCTGTTGGGATCAGGGGAACTCAGAGGAGACATTGCACCAATGCAACACACTTGAGCCAGTTATTGACCATATTTGATGGTTATTTCCCTGCAGTAATTCCTGGATAGTGGCCAGGGATGGGACACTGATTGAGGTCAGCTAACTCAGCACCTACTGGGAATTGAGCCTGAGACATTCCTGGCCTTTCATTCCTACTGAGGAATAGTTCTTTTCTTTTTTGAGTTTTTGTGGAAGGTATTTCCTATATTTTCCCTCACAGCAGCTACTGAAACCATTAAGTCATATCACCTTGTGGAATGCAGTAAGATTGATGTTAAGATTTCAGCTTGGCTGATTGCCAACTTGCTAATGTTTTCGTTTGCATTGGCATCGCAGCATTTAAAGCAAAGGGACAGTTGTAAATATCCAGCTCGCACACACCAGAAATACATGATAAAGCCTTTCACTGACTTTTACATAAGATTTTACACAATCTGCACATCGTCTCACTTGGGAGGCCACTCCTAGGGTTTCTGTAGCACAACACACCACAGAGAGGTAAGGCATGGATACTGACCATGTACTGTACTTGACATATAGTACATAGTCAGCAAGTGAGTCCTGGGCAAAGGAATTCGACTCGACAAGACAATTGACAGGTGAAGTTCAAAGACTCCCACTTTGGAGGAAGAGGAGAATCTGCGGGTCCTGTTTTCTGGTAGCAATTCCTTATTTTTATTCACTGGACAGTACGAGGAGGAGAGCGAGGGGGGCTGAACTCCAACTCCTGTGATGTGCATTAACTAAGTCAGGCTTTTGTATGGAGGCCTAGTTACATCTGGAAGAGGAAGTCTGCTGTCAGCCACAGGTGGATGAGACGATGGCCTGAACATGTCACTGATGCAAAACATCCACTTGGCACTTGATGGGCAGGCAGCACACTGCAAATATGTGATCTAAACTAGACAATCGCTTGCTTCATATAATAAAGTGTACGTAAGATGCATTGATACCTTGCGTGTAGTGGGGTGGGGGAGGAAATTAAGTTCTGTATTTAGTCATGGAAAACGCTGCAATTCTAAAGTCTGAAATTTGATTACTTTCCTGCTGGTACTGGCCTTCAGTAATCACATTAGCTTTCAGTAAAGGGTTGGGTCTTGTTCAGCCAGGAAAAGGAGCCCAGCTATGACGGAGCAAATATGACTAAGTTGATCTCCAAGTGTTGACCAACAATAGCTTCTTATTGAAATAGGATCAGCCTGATAATGGATGTTCCTCTTTATTGCGGTGGGTGCTGAATACAGATTCTGGCACAGATTGCTCGGTACCTCAACCTTGCTGCAGTTTGCCAAAAGTAAAAGCTGTTGAGGTTAGTTTGGTGGAGCATTCAATATCTATCAGATTGAATATACCGGATGTGCAGGAGTCAGAATTCTTTCTCTCACTTGAAATTCTGTGGGGGCAGAGGCACGTCCGACTCACAAAGTACATTTGCAGCAATAATTCTCAAATGCACTGACCCAATTTACTAACCCGATGGCCTTAAGAGTGTGCATCACATATATAAAATAGAACGCCTATATACTAGTAAAGTGCCCCATCACACAAGGGGTAGTAAGAAGGGGAGGGATTATTTGGTGTAAAAGAAGACATAAGTAGGGAGCTTGGTGTTAAATTGCAATGCTGTGGAATTGCTTCAATGGATACCCTTATGTATAGAAATAATAATCCTTGCATTTGATATAGCGCCTTATCATGTCTTCGAGACATCTCAAAGTGCTTCACAGAATATACTATAAAGTGAATTAACTGTATATTTTCATAAGAAATTCAGTTCATAGTCGGTGATTAGAAGAATTTTGCTTCTTATTACATTCCTCGGTATTTGACCAGGATTGCAAATTTGATGCTGTGCACTGCTTAAACACACCTTTTATTTTTAAATTCAGTGTTGCAGCTGAAAATAAGCAAGTTAAAGAATGACAGATGTTTGTAAGTATTTCAACTTTACTAAAAAAAATTCTCATATTTATTACTTTTTGCTGTGCATTGTAGTTGGAACAGTGATTCACAATTGCATCTCACTCCATGTGACCTGATTACAAGTGGCGTGGGAGGAAGAGTACTTACATTTTTAATAGTGCCTTATCACATCATTACATCTCAAAGTGCTTTGCAAGAATAATACTGCCAAATGTAGTGACTGTATTTTGTAGGCAAGCACGACTGCCATTTATGGCAGCAGACTTGTAAACAACCCTAAGGTGAATGCCCAGTTTAATTAGAGGATTGTTGGCAAAGATACAGGAAAAAAACTCCTTTCTCTTTTTGAATAGTGTCGTTTGATGTCCACCTGAACAGGCAGATGGAGCCTCTCTTTCAAGATGTTATTTGGTTTAATCTGAAATTGCAGGCTTCTCTCCCTGGATTGTGGGCTTGAACTCACATCCTTATGACTCAGAGGCAAGAGTGCTATCACCTGAACAAGGCTGGCACCTTATATTACATGGCTGGATAATAAAAGTCCATTAAGGGAATGTTATACTTAATAATGATGAATCATTATGAATATTTATTGCATATTATGCATACATAAAAAGGTGACATTTGCATACTTTTTTTTACAAACTCAAAGCAAATTGAGGGTGCACTTCCTTAACCCTTTTCAACATGGCTCACAACTGGAAGAATCCAATGGTCTGTGACTGTCCACATACCTTCCAAAATGGTTTAATTATCTTTTGCTGGAGTCATTACACAAGTATCTCATTGTAGGTACAATAGACTTTAACAAGAGTCACTGTTTCTCACTGACCCCTTCCTCCTCCCCAAATACCTTACGTTTTATATTTCAGTGCAGATAACCACCAGGACAATAGGGCTCTTATTAAAGGACTTGGCTGAACATTACAGCTAACAATTCTCTGGATACTGGGTCAAAGGCCATTCAAACGTCTGGACTTGTTAGCTCATCAACCCCCACTACCATGACCACCAACTACAATTGCCCCCCCCCCCTCTTTTTCTCCACTTGTAGCTTTCAAAACTAGACTTGATATCAATTTGTTTCTCAGTAATGATTAAGTTCTTTATCATAATTGCACAGAAATGTTTTATTATTAAAACTTTGGAGGGTTTCTGAATAGTGTGATCGGGAGAGACGGAAGTCACTGCTTAAACAATGAAGGAATTGGTTTAAACATGCTTGTCAAGGTTTTGCTAACTGAAAGGGTTACACAAGTTCCAGCTTGAAAATTTCTAGGGTTGTCTGCTTTAGCCATAGAATATCTTGCAACTCAATGGCACGCTTCTCTTAAAATACTGGATTGTCCTTCGGATGAGTAGTTAAACCCAAGGTCACGTCTACTTGGATGTTAAAGATCCTGTGGCACTATTCAAAAACGAGAAGGGAATTTCTCCCAGTGATCTGGCTAACAATGTTCCAGATGAAATTGGTCATTCACTTTGTGGCTGTTTTGTGGGACATTCCTGGGCTGCCACATTCTATTATTATTAGCACACTTTACAATAAACCTCAGATTTTCAGACAAATTTCTTAAAAATTCAGTATTTTTATGTCCATTCACAAAGAACATATGAGGGCAAAAGAAACTGGTGATAATTTACAATGTCAGAGGAGCGATCTGACAGGAAAACATTTTCGTTTCTACTCCACAATATCAGAATGCAAGACTGGACCTCAGTGCTGAAGTGACATGTTTCATATATTGTATCTGACATTCAGCAAGCTGATTGAGTGCTGCAAATTTATGGGTTTGCTATATAATACATATATTGCATCAATCTGATATGCAGAATGTATTAGGGGTTTAAATAATTCCTGAATAAGTTGTGTTTTTTGATCATATCCTATGTAAATGTTTATTTTCTCAGAGATGCTCGAAGAGTTGATGAATACTACAACAAGAACCAGCAGCTAAGGGAACAACAGAAAGGACTCCACGATAACATTAAAATCTTAGAAGACAGGTGAGATTTTTGTTTTCTATTCTATACTGCTATTAATTAAATTGTTGGCACAACCGACATATCACAGAGTACAGTTACACAAGAATAAAATATTTGAGACATTCTCAACTATAGTTGGAAAAAGGGACTGGATCGTTTGCCTGTTAGCAGTGTGAAATTCTCTACCACAAACTGAAGCAGTTGAGACAGTCGATAGATTCCTTTAAAGCGGAATTGGATGGAACCTGGAGGAGGAGGAGGAGTATTACAAGGTGTGGAGAGCGAGCAAGAGAGTGAATTACATTGGATCGTATATGGAGAGATACATCAATGCAGATTTGGGTGGGCTGAGTGATACATTTACCAAGAGCATTCATTTCAACAGAGGAGGGCAGAAAACTGGCTGCAATTTACAATGTTTCTGTTCTGCAACATCCTTTGGATCTGCTTGTCTCAACGAGGAGAGAGATGTTGACAGGGCTGAGCCGACCAGCATACAGACGAGGAGAATGCAATTTTAGTTTTGAAGTTACAGCATTGGTTTTATTTTGTAGGCGGTAAATGCTGGATCAGCAGGTTTTACGAAATGTTTGTGCATGTGAATAAATGACAGTGACCGCAAGTCACTTGTCGCAATTAACTTCAATCTCCTGCCAGCACTTTCAATTAAAATTCCCCATTATCCATGTAATCAATCCTGCAATGGTTTTGTAGACTGGAAGTTTCCCATTTCACAGATTGGCTTTTTTGTTGGACCTTTTATTACCTGAGGGTAATTTTAGACTTAAAAACCAGAGTGCACCATCTAGTGATCTTACTGTTTCATTGTAACATTTTGTGGGTGTATTTCAACAACTCGTATAAAGTGTTTGTGCGTATGTGTGTGGGGCGATGGAAACTATATTGACTTCAGCTCTTAACACAATCCTCTTAATTTTCGCTTCCCTCTGCTTTGTACAAAGTTTCTATTCCACTGAATGCCATCTAGATTTTGATCACCCAGAAAGTTAGCCTTTTCCATTTGCCACTGAAATCTATGCTCTTGTGTTAGGAAACTTGAGATTTTTTTGCAGAACATCCTTAACCTAATTTCTGCATTTATAGGAACATAGGAACAGGACATACATCCCCTCAAGCCTGTTCTGCCATTATGTGATATTATATAAGGGCGAAACGTTGAGCAAGTTTCCTTACTCCACATACCTCTGTTTACCTATCAGTAAGTAGGAACCCGGTTGTTAGTCGATTGTTGGATCACTTTTCCGGGGATAATAATCCCTTAAAAAAAATTAATAATGTGGTCATGCAATCTACGACTGTTTATGGACACTGCTGTTCGCAATTGATTGTTGCGTTTCGCCCACAAAATACACAGACACTCCACTTTAAAGTGTACTCTGTGGAGCTCTTTGAGACGTATCAAAGACGTGATAAAGCATTATATCAAATGCAAGGATTATTATTATAAGATCATGGCGGCTCTGTACCTCAACTCTAATTATCCCCCTTGCCCCATATCCCTTGATACCCTTACTTAGCAACTATCTGAAACCTCAGTCTTGAAAATTTGAATAGATCCAGGATCCACAGCCATTTGGGGAGAATTCCAGATTTCCACTACCCTTTGGATGAAATATTGCCTGCTAATTTCACTCCTAAATAGCCTAGCTCTAAGTTTAAGATTATGCCCCCTTGTTTCGTAGTCCCCCACCGGAGGAAATAGTTTCTCTGTATCTACCCTGTATCGAATCCCTTTATTATTTTAAAAAGCCAAACTAGTTCACCCCAACCTTCTAAACTAGAGGGAATACAGACCAAGTTTATGCAACCTGTCCTCATAATTTAACCTTTTAAGGCCTGGTATCATTCTGGTGAATCTGCGTTGCATCCCCTCCAGAGCCAGTATAGCCTTCCTGAGGTGCAGTGCCCAAAACTGAACGCAATACTTCAGATGGGGTCTGTCCAAGGCTTTATATAGTTAACCGTGGCACTATACATTTAATGTGTTTTAATAGTAAATTATGTAAATTTAAATGAAAGAAACGTTAAGAGCCCTAGAATCAACTTTACTAACTTGTTTCCCAAGCACAATGTTTCTTGACTCAGCATTGTGTTGCTAATGTTCAGAGGTTGCGCACTTATTCCTGTAAAAGTATTTTGAAGTAATCATTCTTTCCTCTACTGCTAGAGTAAGAAGAGAAGGAGCCTTGTGTGAGTTTCAAGTCACAACATCTTGTGTTCATTTGCACAATTTTACATTAAGTTTAGCGAGATGATTCTTGGTCCTTTCCGTAGCTTACGATATATAGGCTAAGGTAGGAAGAGGTGGTTTCTAGGTACTATGATAAAGTAAAGATTACTTACTACAGGGAAGCAATACCGCTACACTGTAGTAATAATAATCCTTGCAGCACTTCATGACATTGTCAATGTCTCTTGAATGCTTTTGGGGATTTTATTGTGTATTTGTAGGTGAATATACTATACTATTTTTTTCTCCTGAATATTTTGGGGGGGAAATGCCACCTGGGCCTAGATTTACTCTGTTTATGTAACATTTCAGAATTTGGCAAATTCTTAAATGGAGTATTAATTTTGAAGTTTTTTTCTGTAAGTTTCAATTAAGAATACAGATGACTAATCAGCTTCAAAGTTAAGACCGAATTCAACATATTACCAAATTCTGGATGCTTTCGAATTCTATGTTAGAATGCAAATTTACATTTACATAACACCTTTCATTTTGTCCCAACACGCTTAAATAAAAGTCAATAAGAGTAAATCTAGACTTAAGTGGAATTTCTCCCTATTAGAATTCATAACAACAACAAAACTACATTTTTATAGCACCTTTCATGTACTAAATCTGCATTTTATTTGTGCTTTCAATAAAGGATTCAAGAATTCATTCCTCCCAAATTTGAACAACAACAATTTGCATTTATATAGTGCTCCTCAAACAAAATAGCATCTCGGAGTGCAATTATTGACATTGAAATGAAACTTGTTGATCTTAGCTAAATTTCATCTCATTACATGGCACCAAACTCCTGGAGTGAACAGATTTTGCTTCCCCCCCAAAAGATTGTGTATGTACAATATACAGTAAGCAAGTAAATTAACAAAATGTTTAAATTCTCTTGAAAACGCATTCCGCAGGCTTTGCACGTGGCAGGCAGCTGGCTGACCATAAAAAATATCAAACAAAGTAAAAGTATGCTTTCATTTTAGAGAAACAGTCATGCAAATGTCTTGATAAATGTTTCTTTCAGGTTGAGGGCAGGTTTATGTGACAGGTGTGCAGTAACTGAGGAGCACATGAGGAAGAAGCAACTTGAGTTTGAAAATATTCGGCAGCAGAATCTGAAACTGATTACTGAGCTCAGTGAGTAATTGGGACATTAAGCACAATACTTACCTTTTGGTCATTTTTCTAATATAGTAAGAACACGTTTTTTTTCTAACATTTCCCCACTCTTGTCTTTAATTGATAGTCAATGAAAAGAACAGCCTTCAGGACGAAAATAAAAAGCTCAATGAAAAGCTAGAATCGCAGCAACATCATCTGAAGTAAGTCTTGCTCATCCACTGCTGCTCTGCCACCTGTACTTACGGACCTATTTGGGAATCACTTATCTGTTTTTTTTCTACTCGTGGTGTCAGAGAGCAACAGGCTGATGGAGGAGAAGCAATTGACGCGGATGAAGGAGTAATACCCGATTCTCCGGTGTCTATCTCTATGCTGAGCAGAATGCGAAGAAGAAAGGAAAACCGCCATATCCGCTATTCAGAGCATTCTCGGGGAGAACTCACTCTGCCTCAGTCTAATGATGGTAAATACTTGGCACTCGGAAGACTGGTTTTGTGATGCATTGCTCAGTAACACTATTCCAGATTTATTCCTGAGATAGTTAAACCTTCAATAATAAATTACTGCTAGCCTAAGGTTTGTTAAGTTTTAGCTTAATGGAAGAACTGGCCTGTTTCAGTTGGTAGGACTCTCATTCCTGGGTCAGATGATTGTAGGTACAACAGTAACAACTTGCATTTCTATAGCCATTCAAGCAGGGTAGGGTCTCAAACTCTGAACAGTAGCGACCTTAATGTTGAGCCAGGGAGGAAGGGGTGGTGACTGGAGGCATGGTCACATAGAAAAGTCTTGCAATGTGATCTGAAAATTGGAAAAGAGGGGGCAAAGCAGAAGGATTGAGGCAAAGAGTTCCAGAGGTTCGAGGCATATTGGCTGAAAATGCAATTGCCACGAGTGGAGTGGAGGGGTCATAAAATACACAGAAGGCCCAAGGTAGCTTAACGAATGGGGTGAGTAGAGGATTGGGATGTGAGCAGGTTGAAGAGGTATTAATACATGATGTGATTCAAGCCACGTGTCGAGACTTCAGAGCTTGTCGTCTAGGTTGACATTCCAATTCAATATTAGGGGAGTGTTAGAGGGGTGTATTTTTCCAGATGAGACGGTGTACCAAAATCCTCTTCAGGTAAGCATGAAAGAAAGATTCCATGACACTATTCAGTGAGTAGGAGGTCTTTACTGGTATCTGGCAACAGGCCTCCAGATGAATTGGTGATTCACGTCATGGCTGTTTTAAGATCTTGCTGGTTCAATTGGCTGCTTGTTGGCCTACAGAACCAGTGGCAATAATTTGCAGTGATAAAGCACAATTGCATTGAAACAGATACATTTATATTTCAAGTTATTTTTAAAAATAAATGTGTTTGATATCTGTGTCAAAAGTTTGTCACATTTTTTTAATAACTTTTATCTTTTCTTTCATCTCTATACTCATAATATCATAATCACCACAATACCATGAATGGAACATTTCGGAAGCCCTTTTAGATGTTAAACATTAGGGATTGGTATTTAGCATTTGAGAATCTTTATCTTTAACATCTGACTAAAGTTGCATCTTTGCTAACCTCAAGCATATTCAAAGAAAACACACTTCAATAACTAAATAATTGTAATGTCTTGTATTGTTTTCTTATATCTATTGTGTACAATGAGGCTGAAAATGTGTGTGTTGTAACTGCCTTTTTATTTTACATAGAGACCTATAAAATGGCTTCAACCTGCTTCACTGCAGTAACCCAGCCTTCTCAGAGAGAGGAAACCCTTGCAGCAGACACCTATGATCCTGGACTGTCCCCAGTGAAAAGTAAGTTTGACTTTCTGTGAAGTAAATGATGATAAATAAAGTAATCCTTGCATTTTAAATGGACCCTTATCAAGTTTGAACTGTCTCAAAACATTTCACGTGGTTTTTCTGTAAAGTGGAGTGACTGTGAAATTAATCATAGAATTAATATAGAATTATACAGCACAGAAGGAAGCCATTCAGCCCATTGCGTCTGTACTGACTCTTTGAAAAGAGCTGTCCAAATCAATCCCACTCCCAAGCTCTTCCCATAGCCCTGCAAACTTGTCCTTCCCAAATAATTGTCCATTTGAAGTGAATTTGTTGCAAAATTATAACTTCCAACACTTTTTCGTTTGCATGTTACTGAGCATAGAGCTCTCTTTTACCTGAATTCCTCTGGGGTGGAAACAATTTGTATTAGTGGTACCACTGCAGGTTTGCCAGGCTTGAATCTCTGTTGTTTTGAATTGTTGCCCGCAACATAATGGTGTAGAGATTAAACAAGGTGGTGAAGCTTCAAATATAGAACGTAACAAAACTTTGTTTCAAACAAATATCATTTAGATAATCATTTTTCTGGAGTTTGTCCAATAAGGATAATAATAATTTGGTTACTCAATCCAAGACTGTTTGTGGGACACTGCTGTGCACAATTGGCTGCCATGGTTCGCTCACAAAATATACCATCACTACAACTTTACAGTATATTCTGTGAAGCGCTTTGAGACATCTCAAAGACATGATGAGGCGCTGTATTAAATGCAAGGATTATTATGTTACTATTATTACACCTCTACAAGGTTCCCTCTGAGACTTCTCTTTTCAAGACTGAAAAGCCCTAGTTTTTGCCTTATCTTATTGTCGCTCATTCCTCTTAACAGTAGGGATAATTCTTGATGCTCTCCTCCTCACTTACTCTTGGGCCTGACAGCTCTGCTATGTTTCTGCAATTGGGTATAATACGTATATTCTCATAGGGGCTTATTTCTTTGCAAATTTTCCTAAGTTCTATTCTCTCTTTGATGGGGGCCCATTTTGGGAATTAAACATTAAATTCTAGACTTCCACAGCATGTTGCACTAAATGAGGTGCTTTGAACCTGACATAAATATCCTTAGCTGGTTGTGGTGCTTGTAAAATCTGCAAGATGGTAAGCAAGGCAAAAAATTTTGTCAGGTGCCTTTATTTGTACGTCTGTCAAGAATCAGTGTCCACAAGCCTCGTTTGTACTTTTTTTTTCTTTTCATCTTCAGACAAACGGCCAGTAACAGGAAATCTTCAGGCAGCGAACTCCAGTTTTAATCTAGCTGCTGTTGTAGCAGAAACGTTGGGACTTGGAATTATTGAAGAACATGTAAGTACTTTCATATTGCATTTGCTGCTAAAAAGCAAATGGCCAGGCACTCCTGATAGCCTGTTGGTTTTTGGGTGGGTATTGACATTGCACTGTCGCACTAACCTTGCAGACCATGAAGTTGTTGTCTTGAATCCTGATCTGTGCTATTTTCAGCTGGTGCTACAATTGACCTGAATATCCCAAGGCTAGAGATTCCTGTTTTTGGTAGCTTTCCAGAGAACGGCAGCCCTGATAGTCTAGTGGATGATGCTGCAGTTTATGGAGTGGGAGTTAACTGGTCTCAGCCGGGGCTGCATTATGGAGGCTAAACTGGCTCTGGCCTTCAACGGGAGTTCTGGATGATAAAATCAACCCATGTTTACTGATCCTAAGCACATGTGTAGCAGCCGGGTGGGGAATGGTCAGGCTTGGCAGCTACGCTTTCTACAGCCTGCTGACACTCTCTGCAGCTCTCACTTGAACACTTGGGTGTTCAAGTGACCAACGTCTGTGGTATTGCAGATTGAGGGCCAGGAGTGGAGGAATCAGGGGAGAAATTAGAAAAATAATTGGACAGTAAAAGAAAAAAAGATATTTTCATCTTTTTAATATATATATATATTTGAAAACTTTCCTGAACCTGATGCTTGAACATCCATTTGTTTAGACGTCAGGCAAGCAGGACATTAAGCTTGCCACTCATACCCCCACAGTTGAACAGCCAATTGATATTTACTGTCAAGATACCTTTAATGTAGAATGGCCATATGGGTGAGATGTTGGAGGGGCAGCTTGTGGAACTGTATCCCAGCAAAAGAATCAGGGGAGAAGGCGAAAACATTTGTCAGCCATCCCTAAGGTCAGCTAAAATAATGAGGGGAAGCCTTGTTACTTGGCAATTGGGTCCATAAAATTGCCAGCTTCCTGGCCTGCTTCACATCCCCCGTCCTCCGCACCCTTCCATCAGTGGTGGGCTTTCAGCATTTCTGCTCCCATTCTCTGGAACTCCTTCCGAGTCACTTCGCCCACTCCTTCCCTCTCCTCCTTCAAGGTCCTTCTTAAGACCTTCCTGTTTGACTGTGCCTTTGTTCATCTACCACCCCCCCACCTGTCCAAACCCCAGCTCGGTTGCAAGTCCTGGACAGTCCGGTGGCTTGGGACATCCTCCCGATGTGAAAGGCACTATATAAATGCAATTTGTTATTGTTGTTAAAAGAGCTGTACTGTATTTTCTTTAAATTGTTTTTTGATTCAGTTTTCCCTTCTAACCATGTTTACATTGTTTTGTTTTGAATAAAGTTCTTTGTCTCCCACAGGATTTCCAAAGTCGCCTAAATTCCTACAGAGACAGCACTGTGCCAACACATACAAGGCATAATATTTTGGAAAAAGATGCCAAACTGCCAGTAAAAGCTGAAGAGTTAAAGGAAAATGGCTGCAGGTATGTTAAATTTTTTATATAGTTTTACATCATATCAAAATGTCTGAAAGTGCTTCACGGTAGTTTCTCTAGAAAAGCACAGCTGTCAATTTATGCACAGGAATGTCTCACAAGCATCCATGAAGTAAATGAGCAATTTTATTTGAGGGATTGTTGGTCAGGACACAGGAAAAAAACTCCCTTGTTTTTCCAACTAGTGTTTGGGATCTTCTATGTCTATCTGAACCAGCATATCGAGTATTGGTTTTAATATCTCAACATTGGATAATGCAGCTCTTCCCCATTAAAGCACTGGAGTGACCATCTAGATTGTGTATTGAATTGCGGCTTGAATCCACAACCTTCCTGGCTCAGTTTGTGCTCGTGGTGTAGAGTGACGCTCCAGTTTAGTGCTTGGAAAGCACCGTATTGTCATTGGTTCAGTCTTTGGATGAGACGTTGAACCAAGGTCCCATCTGCCTGGCCAGGTGGACTTTCTAGATCTCATGGCACTATTTGGAAACAAAATTTCTCCCAATGTTCTGACTGACAATCCCCTCGATAAAATTGGTCACACAGGGTTCAGGTTACATTAATGTTTTAGATGCAAAACATCTAAAATCATCAGAAATGCATGTCAAGAGGGTAGTTACACCCAAAATATTCACCTTTTCCTTTTCTTTCTGGCACTGAGTGAACTGTTGTGCATTACTTTTTTAAGTTTGCACGTTTTACATTCATTGATTTATAAATAACTAATAATTTCTTTTTAGATTTCCTTGTGTATTGCAAACCAATGAAAAAAATGGAACATGGGTTCCTCAGTGCACTTCTCCTGTATTTGGAGTCTCTGCACACACTGCCAAAGGTTCCCCTAATTCAGACATATGTGCATCGCCATCTTTATTCGGTCATAGGATTTGCATTCAGGGGTTGGACGTGCATGGGAAAGCTCACAAGTTGAAGACAGATGGCGAGGAGGTTGCTCTTTTACCAGTAGACCAGCAAATCCGAATGAACCATTTCCTTGAGCAGTCCAAATTGGGAGAACGAAGGGTTTCAAAAAAGCACGTGGAAGACAAAAGTGACGCAGCTGTAAGTGGCGACTGCCTACCTTCATCAAACAGATTGGCAAAAAGAAAGAAAACTGAAGATGCCCAGGATTCTATCACTGGTTGCGGCAAACCTTCAACTAACAAAGAAAATCTCTGGTCAATATTGGGGAAAGCTGCTTCTTTAGATGATGGCAGTCCTGACAAACCTTTGGACTTATCTGATCATGTTTCTAATTCTCGGTCAGGAGACAGAAGCCAAGGAAAAAATACAGGGAACAATAAACTAATTCAAGCCACCCTGTTAGAAACCCTGAAGCCAAGTATGAAGACTTCTGTAAATTTGAGAAGAATCTATAATGGTGGCTGCCTCATTGCTAAGGACTCCCAGGATGACCCTTATCTTCAAGAGGCTGTAAGCAGATCACGTGGGGAAATCTTTCCGGGTGTTGATGTGAAATCTGAGGGAAAGGGAGAGAATGATCTTTCATCTAGTTGCAGATATCTCAGTCCACAACGCAGCAACTTTCAAGAGACGGAGCAGCCCTCAAATGAGACCAAGGTATAGTATTTTGCTTCGGAAAGCAGAATTACCATGACTTAATCAAGTTTCAGTCTGGAGCAGTTTCAGAGTGACTCTCGGTGGGACAGTCCCCACAATTGCAGAAGAACAAACTAAGATGCACGTGTCACGAGCGTGGGCACCATAGTTTGCTGTGTATTGCATTCAATAATCATTCAAAGGGGAAAAAAAAGGTTGAAAGTGGAATGTTTAGAATGGAAATTGAGAATAAATGTGTAGAGAATAAGGGGTAACAACTTACTGCATTGCATGTACATATTGATAATCCTTGCATTGGTGTAATTAATAGACACATGACTACTTACATTATGTTGCATGGAGTAAATTGTGTTTTTGTTTGCTTATTCCAAGGGTTAAATTTATAGCTGTTTTATGCACAAGATCTGTATAGGTAATCAGGATTAAAATTGATAGGAATTTTCAACATTCATTTTTGATTTTGCACATTAGCTGTCAATTAATGGGACTAAGAGGATTGCTGTTAAAAGAGCCAGCACAGACAAGGTAGTACTTCTTCTGTACTATAAAATTCTATGTTTTTATTCATCAGGTGAACATATTCTTCCAAACTAAATACAAATACCCAATGATAGACAAATGAACACTCCCTACATCGTGAACTACATTCACATTTCCTTTTGCAGCGTTCGTTCGTTTCATTCACTTTGTTAACAACATACTATATTTTTAGTCCCAGGAGCTTGAAACTCAAGACCCAGCTGAGAAAAACACGAGAACAACACCCAAAGAGTCTGAACCCACCTCAGTACTTCAACTAAATCCTTGTGCAACCACTGCAAAAAGGCACATCCATGAGGAAGATGGTAAAGAAATCGATTTACTTATTAAAAATATCAAAGTTGAAATTCTGTGAAGCAACATATTTCTTCTCTGAATGATTGGTTTGTGGGTAAAGTGTTCAGTTAACTTGAAAAGATGTTATTTCAAATTGCTATATGGTGTGTTACAAAATGAGGAACAGTTTCTGGTTGATGTACTTTCAGGAAAGTAATTCATTATTTTGAATGAACCCCCATTTGTTCAAATAATGTTTCTTTCAGTTCATGTCAGTCATGCAGATACTAAACTCCAGACAAATTAATTCTAGTGTGTATCTTCCGAACCGTTCCTTTACTCTCCAAGTCATAACCTCAGGAACACAGGAAAACAATCGATTCTCTAGCAGTTATTCTGATTCTGCTCAGAAATGTTGATAATTTCAGGGAGAAAATCGGAAAATCTTCAGTGGAGCATAGATCCAGAAGCAGACCTCTCCAAGTATAAGACTGACCCTGTGCAAGTGGCCTCCAAGGTAACTATCAGACATGTCAAGTTTCAGTCTGGAGCAATTTCAGAGCGACTTACAATAGGACAGTCCCACAATTGCAGAAGAACAAATTTAAGGGCCCATCTCCAATATGTAATCTCTCCACATCCGTTGATGCCCTCCAAGATGCTGCCCTGCGCGAAGGGCACAATATAAATGCAAGTTGTTGTTATGTCTTAGCTCTAATTTTAAGAATTATACAACCCTACGAGAGTAAAGATTCCTCCCCTATCTTGCTTGATGATTCCTCATTCTTTTAAATGTTTCAATTAGCTCACCCCTTAACCTACTCAGCTCTAAGGAATTGAGCCCAAATTAGTCTGAGCCGGGGAGACATTATCATGTGTCTATTAATGCAGTGAAACTAGAATTTCAATGTAGCATGATAACACCATTGGAATGCATTTTGAACAAGTTTTTTTTGATTTTCCTGTAGAAATTTGATTGCTTCCATTTTCCTTCTAGCAGCCCATTGAGCAGCATGAAATAGATACTCCAGACATGGACTGCACTTATGTGAGCCAAAGTATGCTGTTGAAATCCAAGAGAAAAAGGCTAGACAAGTTAAATTGTGGTAAGTAATGAATTTGAACCAATTGTTTACCTCATACTAATCTATATCTATGGATTAAGTAATTCAAGACATTTCAGCCTGGCTAAGATGGTAGCGCTCTCATCCCTGAGTCAAAACATTGCAGATTTAAACTCAGTCTAGGCTTTCAACTCAGTCGAGGCTGACCCCCATACAGTGCTGAGGGATTGGTTATATTGTCCTCTGGATGAGTCGCTCAACCTGTCTCCTGTTCAGGTGGATATTAATGATTGCGTGGTACTGTTTAGAAAGAGATGGGAATTTCTCCTGGTGTCCTGTCATATAATCCCCCAGATAAAATTGGTCATTCAATTCATGGCTGTTTGTGGGACATTGCTGAGCGCAAAATTGACTGCCGTATTTGCCTATAAGATGCACAATAAATTTATAAAGTGTTTTGAGATGGTTCGACGATGTGATAAAGCACTAAATGAAATGCAAGTATTATTGTTATTCATCTTTTTTTGGTGCAGGAGACAGATCTGAGCAAGATGAGACCCTTGCTGAGATATTTGACCGCACAGCATATGGTGAATATGAGTCGTGTCCCCAAGAAAAGAGTCCTCCTAAAGTATATGACAGTGGTAAGCCTTATCTAGTACAGTAGTAACCTCACAGGTGCCAGATCATCATTTCAGTCTATACGTAGGCTTCAGTTTAGATTCACGTTTTTAATGTGTGGATGTACATAAGTTAGTTTAAGCATGAACTCATTCTAGTCTGTGCTATTGGGTCTATGCCCAGGTGATTTCACTTTCACCAACTACTATTAAAATAACAAAATGTTCTTTTGATCACATCACTACTGATATAAATGATTTAATGATATCAATATCTTTGTTGACATTTTTTTAAAAGCACTTGACATTGTGTTTTTTTAGAGTTTGAAGAAGGGCCAGAAAAGACACAAACTGAAGCGATTGCACAGCCTTATTTCAACTGTGAACAAAGGTAACATTGTTTACAAGGCTTGATAAATGAGGGCGGAAAAGTGTTGGACAGAAAATCCTGGAAATGCATAGAAGGTCAAGTTAATACTGTGGAGTTAGGGAAGCCCCCAGAATTTTTTCAATTCATGGTATCACTTGATTTTTTTTTCTTTTGAAAAAATCTGATCTTATTAATAGTAATAATTCTTATAGCATTTGATATAGCATCTTTCCTGTCGGCAGTACATCTCAAAAGTGCTTTACAGGATGTAGTGTACTACTGTGGTTTACTGTAAAAAATTTACTTTGACCGTGCCTTCAGCTCCCCTCTCGACTCTCAACCCCCTCCTCGCTCCCTCCCTTCCCTCCGCTCACCCTGACCATTTCCCCCCTACTCGGGTCCTGACCCAACTGTACAGCGCCTTGGAACGTCCTCCCGACGTGAAAGGCGCTCTATAAATGGAATCTTGTTGTTGTTGTTGTGAAATGTACTGACTACTTTGTAGGCAAATGTGGCAGCCGATTTGCACAAAGCAGTGTCCCACATGCAGCCATGAAGTGATTAACCAATTTTGTTTGTGGTATTGTTGGCCCAGGACACCAGGGGAAACTCCCTCTCTTTTCAAATAGTGCCATAGGATCTTTAACAGGCTGTTGGGACTGCAATTTAATGTCTCATCTGAAGAACAGCTCCGCCAATAATAAAGCAAATCCCAGCACTGCATCGCAGTGTCAGCATCGACTCTGAGTTCCAATTCCCTAAATGAGACAGACTCTTATTAGAGCAATGAAAATGCTGCCTGCTAGTCTGGACGACTATGGTCTGAAGTTTTATTTTTATAGAGCATAAAACTGTGTAGAAGTTTTGCAGAGAACATATTTCCTATCTTCCAACCCATGCTTGGGATGTAGTCCTGTTCAAGCTGTATTCATGTTAGGTTTCCATTTGGCTTAGCTAGTAACACTTTGGGTCAGAAGAGGGATTGTTGATGAGATTTTGCTGTGCGCATAATGGCTGCAGCATCAGCTTTCAGAAATTACAATTGTCCATGATTACCTATGAAGAGCTTTGAGATGATTTTGGGGCGCACTTTATAAGACCTTTATATTTTATTGATTGAACCTGTGCAATTACCGAAGCTTTTATTTTGTTTCCGATGCTTAAAGTGGCCCTGGTTATACCTCAAACTCTTCTGTAGCAGAGGAGTGAATTGATCAACTATGTATGATTGCACTCAGGGCTATGTTGTGTGATGATTGTATATTGGTCAGAATAGCTGGTCAAGAACGCCATTTCACAAATGTTTTTGTATTAGGAAAAATGCTGGTTTAAACTTCCCTCATGTTGAGGTAGTCCGCAACAAAGAGGAGCGAAGAAAAATGCATGGGCATACATGCAAGGAATGTGAAGTGGTAAGTATGAACTGAGCATATTCTCAGACCTGTTCCAACATTACCCCATTTTTCTTCACTTTCAACACCTTTACCCTCAGGCTTAAAAAGGTCATTCATTTTCATGTGCAGAAATTCTTGTTCACTGTTTTGTTTTGTCAGTTTGAATCGAGAGTTGTCCTCAGAACGAGTTCACATCTCCCGGGGCTGGTTTAAGGCTTGAAGCATGACAACATCTGCCCACTCTCAGCTGCAGATAATGATGAGGCCAGAAACTATCTCGAGCAGAGAGAATATGGCGAGAATATTGTAGGATAATTGCCCTTCCCAAAAGAGAGCGTTTCCTGTTCAATTAAACTATCAGTAAAATAATCTTGTTTGTGCTGAAAGAAACTGAATATGTAAGATGTGAGTAAGTGTGAAACTTATTATTGCAAATTCACATCTTCTGGAATAGAAGATCTTATTTTCCACGGCCAGTAAATTCAATCACAGAGGTGAGCCCCTTAGTTTCCTTCTTTGAAAAGAATGCTGAATAGTGTTGGAAGTGCAGCTGTTCCTGGGCGAAGTCGTAGATTTAATCTCATCACCTAATTGAAGCAGTGTTGGACTGTTTGGTTCAAACCACATACCAGTCATCACAGGATAAGGAAATTAGTCTGCAAGATCAGTTCAAGAATTAAATGTGTTGAAACACAACAGGAGCTTCTTCGAATACAAGAAAGAATTATTTGTTAAAATATGGTTTGGGTTTAAAGAAAGTAAGTCACTGATACATGTGAAAGGAAAAGACAGGAATTCTTTTTGCACAAACAGCATGCATTTATAGAGCGCCTTCTGCATTGGGAGAACATCTCAAAACGCTTAAGGAATAGAACAAAGTACTAGATGTAGAGGGAGAAAATATAATTTGAAAATATCTTTTACATTCATTTTACATTGTGGATTCCTGTAGCATATTGGTTAGAGCACTTGCCTCGCAGGCGAGAGGACATGGTTTGATACCTGGGCAGGGCGAAACCTTAGGCAAGTTTCCTTACTCCTCCTACCCCTGTTTACCTAGCAGTAAGTAGGAATCTGGTTATTAGTTGATTGACAGATCGCTTTTCAGGGGGTAATAATACCTTCAAAAAAAATAATACTTTGGTTGCTTAATCCATGACTGTTTGTGAGACACTGCTGTAGCAATTGGCCGCCGCATTTTACCCACAAAATGTACAGTCAATTTACTTTACTGTTAAGCGCTTTGAGACGTCTCAAAGACGTGATAAGGTGCTATATCAAATGCAAGGATTATTATTAAGGAATCCTTGCTTTTTGCACAGCCAAGCGACTTGTCCTCAGATCACAGGCTATTCTGATAATTTATGTTAGAGGAAGCAGCATATTATGGTTTGTGGCTCCATTCAGGCTAGCAAGAGCAGGTGGTTTGTCCCTGACCCCAAAAAAGCACAATAAAACTTGGCAAAGGAACCATAGTATTACATGGAGTATTTAACCATGTTATGACTTGTCCTTATAAACTTCATTATAAGGACACGAGTCATGTAGCATAGTGGTTAGAGCCTCACAAGTGAGAAGACCTGGGTTTGATTCACTTTACAATATATTCTGTGAAGCACTTTGAGATGTCTTGAAGAGGTAATAAGGCCTTATATCAAATGCGAGCATTATTATTATCAGTTAATGGATGCAGCATTACCAGTATTTGCCTGTAGTTTGTTTCACATGTGCAATCATGTAGAGATTCTGCCCCCACTCCCCTTTCTCCAATATCTAGCTTTGCTTAATGCTTGTTAATTCTGAACCCAAGCTCTCCAAATCTGTGTTTGCACTGCCAGTTATATTTGAAATTCATGGATTAATCCTAAAGTTTACTCTCCTGTAAAGTTAGATGGTGTAAAGTTAATAAGGTACTACTGCAACAGCGCCCTTCACATAGTAGTATGAATGCTTTCCAAACACGGGGGCGAGCTCCGAGTTCTGAGGGGAGGAGGAGTTTACCGTAGGCGCTGTAAAACAAATAGGTTTTAAAATGAGACTCAATGATGGAGAGAGATGCAGGGAGTTCCGGAGGTTAGTTGCTGAGATTCAAACTACAATCCGTAGTGTCGAGTGAATAGCAGGAGAACCAGAACAGACCCCTGGGAAATCCATCGACAGGACATTTTTCTCTCCTCTTCCTCCTCCCAAAGGTGAACATGAAGAGCTCAAAAGATCCCTGAGATGCCTAAGCCCACCCAAGACGCCAACATGCGTGAAGGGCCGTGTATAAATGCAAGTTGTTATTGAGATCATATCAGAATATTATTGGCGATCTGGAAGGTTATTTTACAGGTCTATTAAGAAATATGTTGATGAATTAAGATGCTTGTACACATTAACATTGATGTACTGTTATCTAAGTATTATGCAGACCTCCCAGAAGAGGAGAGACTGAAAAAGCTGGCGAATTGCTCGAGGCACAGGTTCCGGTATATTCCCCCAGATACGCCCGAGAACTTCTGGGAGGTGGGTTTCCCCTCCACACAGACATGTGTTGATCGAGGTGAGAAAGAGCGAACTGTTTATTCTCTTATTTTTGTTGGTGAAAGGTTACGTAAAATCCATTTTGCTTTCATCAACAAGGGGATTGATGTTAGACTGAACATGCTGTCATTTTCTTCCGGTGTAGTAGCTAACAAATTGATCATTCACTCAATTTGTGGGACATTGCTCTTTGTGGAATATTGATGTGGAATACAGCCTCTCAGCCCCGAGGCTCTGGAACTCTATCCCCCAGTGCCTTCGCCGCCTCCTCCCTTTCCTCCTTCAAGGCCGGTCTCAAGACCTTTCTCTTTGACCGTGCCTTCAGCTCCCCTCTCGACTCTCTACCCCCTCCTCGCTCCCTCCCTTCCCTCCCCTCACCCTGACCATTTCCCCCCTGCTCGGGTCCTGACCCAACTGTACAGCGCCTTGGGACGTCCTCCCGACGTGAAAGGCGCTCAATAAATGGAATCTTGTTGTTGTTGATGTGCTCAAATGGGCTGCCACGTTAGCCTATGAAATAAAGGGTAACTAGACTATATAGTAAATCATATGAATGCTTGAACCATCAAGCAATGTAGAGCTAGTGACCGACAAGCGTTCTAGAGGTAGTGTGCTGTTTGGCATCAGCCAAAGATGGCAGGTTAAAACCAAACAAGCTTTTTGACTGGTTTTCCTAATGCGCAGTGATTAAACCTCTTCAACTGCCCGTTGGCTATTTGATGAAGTTTGAGGATTGGGGAGTTTGAGAGAGAAAGCGGTGATAGACTATTAATTTAGCGTACATTTATTATATTAAAAACACATTTAAGGACTGTTTGGATGGATTACATTGGTCCTAAACAAAATCTTCTCTGATCAGAGGCTCTGTTGCGCTCATTTGTTCCTTGAGGACCAAAACTGCACCCTCTAGTGGCCTGGTAATTAAATAACAGCTTGAAAATCGCATTCTAAAGTGTACAAACTGCTGTGGGCTTTTTGATTGCTGAACAAGGATCTGTTGCTTTCTCAGGTTATATTAAAGAAGAGAACACACCATGCCAGCGCCCAAGACGCAGACGTCCGTACAATCCCACATTTTCACCAAAAAGCAAAGAACCAAATGCCAGCTAGTCACTTGCATAACAGACAGCAGCAATGAGAGAGGTCCATGCAGATGCACATTCTGAAAATCACAATTTGCCTGATGTTTTGCAGAATGTAAGAGACTCTGACCTGACTTTTATAGCAGTTTGTTAGTTCTAAGATTTCTTTGATTGTTATTTAAATTATATGTATTTTGTCTTTCATCTGCATATTATTGTTAAAACTTTGAAAATTTGCACACCCTACTTAAGGTATGGTGTTCTTTGTTGCACTGGATAATAATGCAATTAAATATGTAAACCTTTCTACAATTGAAATGTTTAATATAGCTTGAAAGTTTCATTGTTATCGATTGAATAAGATGTTAGTGCTTATTGTTTGATAAATTTGTACTAGATTAATAAAGGAAATGTCTTTCTTCTAAAAGCTCAGGTGCTGACTAATGTTTGGTCAAGGCACACAATATGCAAGCAGTGAATTACTCAGAGACAACTCTGTCAAACCCCAAATACCAAATTAATTCCAACAGCATCATACTGAGAATAGATTAAATACAAACGTTACAAAAGAATTAAACCTGTACCAGTGGAGGAAAATTAAAGTGACAGTAAGAACTTCAGTTTTGATTGTTTTCATATCTAAAGTTCAAAGTAACAACATGTAGCACACCTAGAAAACATTTTACAAGTAGAACGGTCCCAGAAACACTTGAAGAAAAAGACTGATTCATCTGGAAAATTGTTAGCTAGGATACTGGGAGAAAATACCTTCTTGAAGAACAGGCAGACAGGTCCTTGGTTTAAAGTCTTATCCAAAGGACAGTATCTCTGATAAAACAGCAATCCACAGTACATGCATTTATATAACTGTCCCTCTTGGTGGCGCTATGTAAATGCACGTTGTTGTTGTCGCCCACAAACTATACAGTCAATTTACAGTATATTCTGTGAAGCGCTTTGAGATGTGACAAGGTGCTATATCAAACGCAATTATTATATTGTTGCTATCAACAGAATCCAGCTCAGTGAGGATTACCCAAATAGATAATGTTTTACAATAGGCTAATACATTAAACCAGGTGAAGGTAATATCATATGTATTAGAACAAACTGGATTCAGCTACAAAAAGGCGTACCTGGCGCCATCATCTTCTCAATCCCAAGTTATGAGGCATTGGGAAATCCAAAATCCAAATGTCCCTGAGTAGTTCAGTCTCTTGAAACAGGGAGCATTTTAGGAAAAGGGGTAATATTAGTGAGAATAACTAACAGCTATATGGAGTATTCAGTCTCTTGTTATCTATTGCACATCAATAGTTTTCATTGGAGATATGAGTGATAGCGCAGCATCTACACAACTGCAAGAATTTACTTTAAGGATGCCATAATTTTCAAACATAGAGCAGTCATCAGACATTCTTTGGGACGTCCTCCCGACGTGAAAAGCGCTATATCAAATGCAAGGATTATTATTATTATTATTTAGATTTCCATAGACAGCACAGCATGGAAACAAGCTCTTTGCCCCAATTAGTGATGAAAGTCTGCATGAGTCACACACACTCCTTATTCCCTCCCATACCCTTCTACTCCCTTCTTCATGAGTACATCCAAATTCCTCTTGCATGCAAGTTTCACATTCTCAATAATCTCTGCATGAAGAAGTTGCCCCTGAATTATCTTTTTGACCCCCCTCCCCTCCCAGTTGATAATATATTCTTGAGTCCCCTGGTTATGGACTCCACAGCAAGATAGATTTACAAAAAAAAAAGCTTTTGAACATTGTAAATTATGGTATCAAATATATACTGTATTTGAGTTGAGCCTGGTTCAACTGGTAGAACTCTCGCCTCTGAGTCAGTAGGTTATGGGTTCCATGAGCAAATCACCTTAAATCCTTACTCGGATCTACTTGCTCCCATCGTGGGTGTCTTGTTTGACCTTGAACTGTTCTTTTTCCCCCACATCTGTGCCATCACCGGCACTGCCTACCACCACCTCTGCAACATTGCCATACTCCGCCACTGCCTCACCCTCAGGCTGCTGAAACCCTCACCCACGCATTTGTCATATCAAGGCTCGATTACGGAAACTCCCTCCTCATCGGCCTTACCAACTCTTTCCTTCACAAGCTGCAGATCATCCAAAACTCTGCAGCTCGTGTACTCTCAAGCACCAGGCTCCGGGACCCCATCACTCCCACCCTCGCCCGACTCCACTGGCTCCCCATCCCCCAGAGGATCGAGTTCAAGATCCTCGTCCTCACCTTTAAGGCCATCCATGGCCTCGCCCCCTCCTATCTCTCTGACCTGTTGACTCCCTACCAACCTGCCCGCTCCCTCCGTTCAGCGGGCTCCGGTCTGCTCCATGTCTCACGCCCAACCCGCCCTATCATCGGTGGCCGGGCTTTCAGCCTCTCTGCCCCCACACACACAGGAATTCCATCCCACGGTCCCTTCGCCTCACTTCCTCCCTTGCCTCCTTCAAGGCCGGTCTCAAGACCCTTTTCTTTGATCGTGCCTTTGGTCTCCCTCCCACCTCTCTGTCTTCCCTCACCCCTACACCACCCCTCCCCCACGCTCGGGCCCCGACACCTGACTGTTCAGTGCTTTGGGACATCCTCCCGATGTGAAAGGCGCTCTATAAATGTAATTTTGTTGTTGTTGTATCCTCCAGTGGACCAAGTTCAAGATCCTCATTCTCACGTTAAAATCCCTCCAAGGTCTCACCTCGCAATACCTCTGTGTCCTCCTTCAAACACGTTGTCCCAGCCGCTTCCTCCTGCTTGGTTAGACATCGTTGGAGGGTGTGTTTCAGCCATGACTAGGAGCTCCATCAGAGAGTCCCTCTGGCTTACTCCTTCCTTTTACTCTTTCAATTCACCTCTATGAGTACGCTTGTGGTTATCTTTCCCTCCTCAATCATTCGGCTCGGTTGCCCATCCAACACTGTGAATACACTTTGAGACATTCTCCCGACTTGAAGCCGCTTATAAATGTCAATGGTGTTGTAAATGTTGAGAGAATTTTATCAAGATGCACTGTTAGAGAAAACACTGGAGTGGGTGATGATTACCAATGAGAAAATACAGAGTGACCACCTCAGGGGCTGGATGAGCGCAAATTTCCTTCAGCTGAAGGTTGACAAGACAAAGCCATACTCTTTGGCTCTCGTCAATGTCTAAAATCTCATGGTTCTCACCTCCTCCACCTACCCGAACTCCCCCTAAAACTCTCCAAACCCGTACGCAACCTAGGCGTCAGATTCGACCCCCAATTTTCCTTCCTCCCCCACATCCAGTCCCTCACCAGCACCGCTTTCTTCCACCTCCAACGCATCGCCCGTCTCCACCAATACCTCTCTCTGAGAGCCACTGAAACCCTGGTCCATGCGTTTGTCACCTCTCGGCTGGACTACTCTAACGCCCTCCTTGCCGGTATCGCCTCCACTACCATCCATAAAATCCAGATTATTGAAAACTCTGCCGCCCGCATTCTCACCCGCACGAAACTCCCCGATCACCCCAGTCCTTGCCAGACTGCACTGGCTGCCTGTCCCAGAGAGGATTAACTTCAAGATCCTCACCCTCGTCTACAAATCCCTCCACTCCTTGCACCCCCCTACCTCTCTGACCTCCTCTCTCCTCAAAACAGTGCCTGTTGCCTTCGTTCCTCTGGATCTGGCCTCCTTGTCTCCCGAATCCTCCGCTCCACCCTCGGTGGCCGTGCCTTCAGCCACTATGCCCTGAGGCCCTGGAACTCCCTTCCTCATTCCCTTCGCCTCGCTCCCTCTCTTCCTATTTTCAGGTCTCTGCTGAAGACTTTCTTTTCAACTTGGCTTTGGCTGTCCGGCAGCAGCCACACTGACTGCCCCATTCCCCTCTCACCATTATCACTGCAAGCCCGCCAGATCTAGACTTCGGGGGCTAACCTCTCCTCCCTCATCCACATTCCCACACTCCCTGCCAATCCTCCCACTACTCCTTCCGTCTCACACATTCCTCTGCCAATTATCCCCTCCGCACCGACCTACAAATATGTCCACTCTCTTTCTAACAAGGCTCTCGCCATCAACGACATCATCGTTGATGAAAACATTGATATCCTGGCCCTCATTGAAACCTGGATCACCCCAGGTGACACCTTCTCCCAGATTGAGGTCACACCACCCGGCTATACCTCCCACTATACACCATGTCCTAACCACGTCCTGGTGTGGCTTTCATCTCCAGATGCTCACTTACTCTATCCCCCTACTCCTCCAGCTCATTCCCTTCCTTCGAGCACCTTACCCTCTACCATTTCTTCAATCTTTCCCTCAAAATTCTCCTGATTTATTGTCCCCACAAACCCTCCCCCACCTTTAGCTGACATCTCCGCCCTTCTACCTTCCCGCTGTTCTGAACGCCTCCCTATCCCAGGCAACTTTAACATGCACTTTTCCTTGCTCTACCTCCACCTACTTCTCCTTTCAACTTACAAACTTTCCTTCCACATCCACTCTGCCACCCACATTCATGGCCACCCACTCGACCTGTTGATTACCCGGGCGGGGTCTCAGTGTCACAATCACCAACAAGAGCCATCTCGGATCACCATTTCATCTCTCATAACTCCTGAATCCCTCTCCCCACTGCCACCCATCTCCTACCGCTCCTGGAAAAGAATATCCCCGCACTCCCTCTCCGCTGCCCTGGAGTCATCTGAACTTCTCCCACTCCGGCCTACTTCCTGCACAGAGTTTTCCTCCTCGGTCACTCTCCTCCACAACTCCCTCTCCACCATTCTCGATGACCTGGCTCCCCTCACCTCCCAAACCACCTCCTACTCATGCAACTCACCCTGGTACACCAGCCACCTCCGCTCACTCAAAGGTCAGGTGCGTGCTGCCGAATACACCTTGCTCAAATCTGATTTAACGGTCCACTGGCAGACCTGGCTGGACCACATAAAAACTTACTGGTCCGCCCTCGCCACCGCTAAATTGTCCCTCTATTCCAAGGTAATCTTGGAGGCCAAGGACAACCCCAGGCTTCTCTTCTCCATTACCAAATGGCTCCTCCGTCTCACGCCTCGCCCATCCTCTCCTCCAACTCTAGCTACGAGGTGATGCTGGATTTCCTGGAGACCAAAATCATGGGGATCCGTTCAGCCGCCTCTGCCCTCCCAACCGCCACCACCTCCCCATCTCTCCCTCACACTCCAGATCCTATTCATCCATCCCTCCACACATTCAAATCTGACTCTCCCTCCTCTCTCACCACCACTAGAGCCCACATGAAGCTCACCATCTGCTCCCTCAACCTCATCCGTACCCTTCTCCTTACCTCCCAGCTCCACCTTCTCGCCCATTTATTCTCAGACCTTATTAACATCTCCCTGTCAACTGGCACTGTTCCCCACCTCAGTTAAAACAGCTGTCATCACCCCTATCCTAAAAAAACCTTCCTTCAAACCCATCCCTGCTCACTAACTACTACCCTGTCTCCAATCTTCCTTTCATTTCCAAGGTCCTTGAAAAAGTTGTTGCTTCCCAGCTTCTCTCCTTCCTCTCCTACCTTTATGAACCCTTCCAATTAGGAAGTGCTGTGGGCAGCACGGAAACAGCCCTGGTCAAGACATCCTGTCCATCTATGACCAAGCCTCCCTCTGGCTCCTCTTCCTCACTGCTGCCTTTAATACTGTGGACCACTCTATCCTCCTCCACTGCCTCTCCTCTCACCTTAACCTTCAGGGTTCTGTCTTTGAATGGTTCAGATCCTATCTCCCATACCGGCTCCACTTTGTCTCCACAAATCGCTTCTCCTCCAGCTCCCGCACCATCTCATGTGGTGTTCCTCAGGGCTGTGTCATCGGTCCCCTCCTCTTCAACCTGCACATGGTGACATCATCCGCAGACATGGGGGCATCATCCACATATACTCAGATGACACCCAACTCTATCTCTCTGCCTCCACCCTCAACCACTGATGTCCTGACAGATTGCCTGTCAGGCATCAAGTCCTGGATGTGAGTTAAATTTCTACAGTTGAACGTCAGGGCTCTCCTGATTAACTCGCGCCAGTGCCTCCGCACCTCAGGCACTGGCAGCATCAGCATCCATGGATGCACACTTCACCTCACCAAGCCAGTCAGGAAGCTAGGCATCTTGTTCGACCCTCAACTGTCCTTTCTCCCCCACATCCGTGCCTTAACCCGCTTTCCCTTTCCCCACCATTGGAACATTTCCCACCTCCGCCACTGCCTCACCCCTCAGGCCGCTGAAACCCTCATACATGCCTTCATTACTACCAGGCTCGACCATGCCAACTCCCTGTATATCTTTGTCGGCCTTCCCAAATCTTCCGTCCATAAGCTGCAGATCATTCAGAACTCTGCAGCTTGTGTCCTCTCCCGCCCCAGGCTCTGTGACCCCATCACACCCACTCTCGCCCAGCTCCACTGGCTCCCCATTGCTCAGAGGATCAAGTTAAAAATTCTCATCCTCACCTTCAAGGCCCTCCATGGCCTTGACCCCTCCTACCTCTCTTAATTATTATTATTACCTACCAACCCCTAATCAATCTGTTTGCTCCCTCTGCTCAGCATGTTCCGGCCTGCTCCATTTCTCCCAATCGGCCCGCCCCACCATCGGCAGTCAAACCTTCAGCCTCTCTGCTCCCACCCTCTGGAACACCATTCCACATTCCCTTAGTCCCACTCCCTCCCCTTGCCTCCTTCATGGCATGCCTCAATATCCTCCTCTTCAACCGTGCCTTCGGCACCCTCCTATCCTCTTTGCCCTCCACCCTTCCTGATCCCACCCCGCCGTTCAGGACCTAATCCTTGACTACTCAGAGTCTTGGGACATCCTCCCGACGTGAAAGGAACTTTACAAATGCAATTATGTTTTGTATTGTATTAGTAAGACAGGAGCAGGTTCATTAACATTATTGTACTTATGGTCTAATGAATTTGTATTGCAGCTTTTGCCAAGATATCTATATAGGTTTTAGTGTAGGGCGAGACAAAGGAATGGAGGGAGGGAGTTCTTGAAAGTTAGAACAACAACAACTTGGATTTATATAGTGCCCTCCATGCCAGACGACGTCTCAGAGCGCTTCACAGTAACGGATCCTGGGACCGAGCCAGGGGGAGGAAGGGGAAGGTGACCAAAGGCACAGTCAAAAAGAAAGGTCTTCAGCAGAGACCTGAAAATGGGAAGGGAGAGAGTGAGACGAAGGGAGTGAGGAAGGCAGTTCCAGAGCCTCGGGGCATAGTGGCTGAAGGCACGACTGCCGAGGGTGGAGCGGAGGACTTGGGGGACGAGGAGGAGCCCAGACCCGGAGGAACAAAGGCAACAGGCACTGTTTTGAGGAGAGAGGTCTGAAGGTAGGGGGGTGCAGAGGAGTGCAGGGACTTGAATACGAAGGTGAGGATCTTGAAATCGATTCTCTCTGGGATAGGCAGCCAGTGCAGTCTGGCAAGGACTGGGGTGATCGGGGAGCGGAGTTTCGTGTGGGTGAGAATGCTGGCAGCAGAGTTTTGAATAATTTGGATTTTTTGGATGGTAGTGGAGAGGAGACCGACGAGGAGAGTGTTTGAATAGTCCAGCCAAGAGGTGACAAAGGCATGGACCAGGGTTTCAGCGGCTTTGGAGAGAAGTGTTGGGGGAGACGGGCGATGTGTCAGAGGTGGAAGAAAGCAGTGAGGGTGAGGAATCTGATGTGGGGGAGGAAGGATAATTGGTGGTTGGGGGGATAATAGAAGGATAATTGGTGGGATAATAGAAGCTGAAGACTTGGCTACAGATGTTGTGGGATGTGGGTGGGTGGGTGTGGGCATTGAAGCAGATGGGACACACACAACATGCCCATAGCAAGCGAGCAGATTAGAATAGAAGATCACACAGGTAAGGAGGTGTTCAGCCATGAAGGGATTTATAGGTGAGTTTGACATCCTTGTCATAGAACCATAGAATTTTACAGCACAGAAGGTGGCCTTCGGCCCATCGTGTCTGTGCTGGCTCTTTGAAAAGAGCTATCCAATTCAATCTCACTCCCCCCACCCTCTCCCCATAGCCCTACAAACGTGTCGTCCCCAAATAATTATCTACTTCTCTCTTAAAAATGGTTATAGAATGACCCTTTCAGGCAATGCATTGGATCCAACAACAACAACTTGGATTTATATAGCGCCCTCCATACTGGACGGCGTCTCAGAGCGCGGGGTGAAAAAATGTCTCCTTACTTCCCCTCTGTTTGTAACAACTATTTTAAATCGGTGCCCTCGGGTTACCGACCCCCCCCCCCCCAAGTAGAAATAGTTTCTCCTTGTTCACCCTTTCGAATCCACTCATAATTTTGAAAACTTCTATTAAGTCTCCTCTTAACCTTCTCTGCTCCAAGGAGAATTATCCTAGCTTCTCTAGTCTCTCCTGATAACTGAATTCCCTCAACCTTGGTACCATCCTGGTAAATCTCCTTTGCCCACTCTCTCCAATGCTTTGACTTCCTTCCTAAAGTGTGGTGCCCAGAACTGAACACAGGACTCTCGCGGAGGTCAAACCAGCGTTTTATAAAGGTTCATCATAACTTCCTGACTTTTGTATTCTATGCCCCTATTTATAAAGCCTAGTATTTCGTATGCTTTTTTAACAGCTTTATCTACCTGTCCCGCCACCTTCAAAGATTTACTTATATGAACCCCCCGGTCTCTCTGTTCCTTCACCCTCTTTAAGATTGTACCATCAGCTTATATTGCCTCTCCTCATTCTTCATCCCAAAATGCATCACTTCGCATTTCTTCACATTAAACTTCATCTGCCGCGTGTCCGCCCATTTTACCAGTCTATCTATGTCCATTTGCAGTCGCTACTATCCTCCTCACTGTTTACTACTTTTGCTCGCTTAGTATCATCTGCAAACTTGTACAATTGGAAATTGTACTCCCTATGCCCAAGTCCAGGTCATTTCTAGATTGCTGGGATGTCAGTGGAGCCTGACAAGAACTCGGGAGATTGGAGTTTGGTGCAGGTGAGGAAGCAGGAGCTGGAGTTTTGTATGAGCTGGAGCTTATGGCTGGTGAAACAAGGGAGACCAGAGAGGAGTGAGTTTCAGAAGTCAAACTCAGAAGTCAGAACAGTGTCAAAACAGCAGAGAGATCAAAGAGAACAAGAAGGCATAGAGAGCTGTGGTCGCAGATGCACAAGTTACATTTCATCACAACTTTGTATCTTCTGCAAACCTCAGACAAGAAGTTCCTCACAGAGCAATAAATTTGTCAGTGCCACCAGCAAGACTAAATACCCTCAGCAGATTAAAAGCTCATCCCTTCCTTCTACCTTTGTTTCATTAAAAAAAATTGGGCACTCAATCCACAACTTATTAAAAAACTATTTTATAACCGATCCACATTTTTATTCATGTGGTATCTCCAGCTGCATAGGACTAGATATTTCAGTTTGAAGAGACCCATATGTCAGGAATAGTAAAATGCCTTACCTAGACATATGAGAGTAATAATAATAATAATCCTTGCATTTGATATAGTGATTTATCATGTCTTTGAGACATCTCAAAGCATTTCACAGAATATACTGTAAAGTAGCTTGACTGAATATTTTGTGGGCGAAACATTGCAGCCGATTGGACACAGCATTGTCCCATAAACAGTTGGGCATTGAGTGAGCAAATTATTATTATTTTTATTTAGGGATTTTTATCCCCGGAAAAGCGATCTGCCAATCTACTAACAACTGGGTTCTTACTTACTGCTAGGTAAACAGAGGCATGTGGAATAAGGAAACATGCGTGTGTGCATGTGTTATTCCAAGCTTAATGAATTGGGTTTAAAACTATTTTGGTCAATTAAAACAGTCAGATATTGTATGTGTGATAATGTAGTTTTAATGGTGTTTTTAATGGAGCAACAATTAATCAACAAAATGCAGCTCAAGCATTAACATACTTTATAGCCCAGAATATATATGGTAGATTTTGGTATTTTTATTATCAGACATAAACAGCTGAGAATAGTCTCAGTAGTCTTGTCATTGGCCAGGACCATGAGTACAAGGCCCTTTCCAATGACAATACAGCTGAGACTATTCTGGAGCATGTTGTTCTCACTCGCAGGACATCATTCTGTCTGCAGCGTGATGACAATTGTCCCTCAATAGAGAATATGTTGAACCACCAGCTCGTACAAAATCTCCCACTGTTCTTCCATGCACTGGTGTATCTTCCACTACCTGAAAAATTAAGGTAAGTGTGAATATTATAATCTTTATCCTGATTTTCACTTTGATACAATCTTGACCGCGCTCTCGGCATTGTTTCACCCCCTTGCCCTTACTCCCTCAGCCCACATCCAGCTCGAGTGCTATCCCTGGACTGTCAAGCACCCTGGCAGGTCTTGCCAACATGAAAGGCACTGTAAAAATGTAAATTTGTTTGGTATTGATTTAATTGTCACATACCCTCCATCGATCTGACATGTGATTGGCATCAGTAACTACAGTCTGAGATGTGCGGCCAAAGCCATCTCCTTTGTGAATCAGCCAAGATTCTCCAGTATCTGTTGTTACTCTGAAAGAGAAAAATAATTAATAGTAATATTAATCATTGCATTTGATGTAGCACCTTTCACTTTAGGAGGACGACTCACAGTGTTTGAGATGATTTACTTTAAAGTGTAGTGACTGTGAATTTGGATCAAATCATATAAATGCTTGCTGCCAATCCTAAGCAAAATTAGGCCTTAGAACCATTTCAAAAAATTTTTTACTGTAGCTTTACTGCAGTTGTGAGTAAAAAAAACTCACACCAAACACCTGTACTTAGTGAAAGCCTCTTCTGTATGTTATTTGTCTGGACTATCTCCTTTTTTTCTTTAATTGGGGTGACAGCTCTACTGGTTTATCTTGAAATGCTCACCAATAAAATTGTCCCACAAAAGAGTGAGAATATGAAATAAGTTACACTTACACAGCAACTTTGACAACGAAAATGTCTCAAAGCACTTTACAAAAATATAATGGAAGCAAAGCAGGGTAGCAAAGTGTATGTGTGTGTGGTGATGTGGGTGGGGCTGGGGTTTGATGTCTATATGTGCGGACAAAGAGAGAGGTTTTTAGTTGGGCTTTGAAAGCAGAGAGTGAGGTAGCAAAGTTGAAAGATTTCGAAAGAGTTCAAGAGCAGGGCCAAGAAGTGTGTTTGTTCACTGATGATAGTCGGGTTGGAGAGTGGCATGAAACAGGCATGGCACAGTGGAGAGTAGTGGTTGGGGAATAAGACCACAGAAGATTGTAGAGGAAGAGTGGGGTTAAGCCATTAGGCATTTGCAGGTAGGGACAAGGATCTTAAATTGATTTCAAGGGGAGATAGAGAAACAGTGGAGGCAGGTGAGAAAGGGTGTAATGGGCTTTGTGTGGGAGAGAACATGGGCAGAGGAAGTCTAGATGAAATGGAGCTTGAGGAAGGCAGAGCTGGGGAGGCCAGTGATCAGAGCAGTGTAGGACAGGAAGGTATATCCAGATTTTTCACTTAGGTTATTCATTGGCATAGTTTATCCAGAATCTTAATTGTGGGACATTCACATATTATATACAAATCTCCATTCTGTTATCTGCAAAACATATAGTGGTTTTGCTTGTGTGGGATAATCTCAGAGCATAATTGAGCTAACATTATCAATGCAGAATATCTACTTGAATTGGTTTACCTTACTCCTGAATGACTAATACGTCCAATCTTCAAACGAAAAGAACCGTAAGGTCTCACGACCTTCTCAATTTTCACCACAGGTGTATTATACAGCCTGGTGAGTTCAGATTGGCGTGTTATGTCATGGGGAAATGCCTCTGTTTGTCTTTGGCCTATAAAATATATAGTTTAATTCAGAATTATGAATTGTTCTCATTAATGCAAAACTCGCTCAACCATAATGTTTGACAATGGGATCACATCACAGCTTGCAATTTTCACTTTACAATTATTTATTTTCAGAACAAAGCTTGCTTGAAAAGTGAGCATGTGGCAATTTAACAATCATGTCAGTAATAAATTTTGTTGTTGTAGTAGATTGAAGCAAATTGGAAATATTGAAATACTCACTAGAAGATGCATTAGCAGCAACAAAGCACAGCACGAAAAGCAATATCAGCTGCATGGTCCTCTCACAGTAAGTGCCTAATGAGCAGGAAACATAGTTAAACAAACACAACCAAATCTACCCAAATCTAATTTGACCCTTGATTCCACTGATGTTCTGACCACCTACTATCAAGTTCTGAATGAGCCTCAAATGTCTTTATCCAAAGATGAATGAGATGGAAGCCATCCACCTTGGGGCCTTCCAATGGTTCCTTGCTCTAACTTCCTCAACCTGCCTTGCCTTTCTCTCCAACTCACTGAACCAGGTTGCAACATTGGTATTTCATTTGAAGCTCAGCTCCTTTCCTCCCTTACATCTGGTCCCTAAACTAGACTGCTTTTCTGTATCTCCACCAAATGGTTCGTGTCTGTTTTTATCCCATATTCAATGCTGCGGAAACACTCATTCATGACTTTGTCTCCTCAAGACTTGATTTTTTGAATGCCTTTCTCAACACAGATATTATTGAAGGTGCTGTCCTTCAGGTGAGACATGAAGCCAACAAACTGTCGGTCTGTTCTTCAGGTGGACATTAAAGAACTCATGACAGGATTTTAAAAATGGCAGTCTGTCCTGCTGTGCTGGTCAACAGTCCTCCAGGTAAATGAATGAATCAAACATCTCATCGTTGTTTGTGAGACTTTGCTGTGTGAAATATACCTGCCATGTTTGCCTACAAATAAATCTCTGTAACCTGGCAATAATACTGTATCTGTAATAGATTTAAGATGTTTCTACTCAATGAGGCAATATTAACAAATGCAAATTCTTTCTCCATATACATCATAGAAAATCCTCTATTTGCTGAAACACTGAATGTGTATTGCAATAGAATCATAGAATTATACAGCACAAAAGGAGGCCATTTGGACCATCGTGTCGTGACAGCTGTTTGAAAAGAGTTACCAAATCAAACCCATTCCCCCGCTCTCTTCCCATAACCCTGTAAACTTGTCCTTCCCAAATAATTATCTACTTCTCTATTAAAAGCTGTTATCGAATCGGCTTCCACCGCCCTTTCAGGCAATGCATTCCAGATCTGAACAACTCGCTGTGTGAAAAAATTTCTTCTCACCTCCACTCTGTTTCTTTTAACAATTATTTTAAAACAGTGTCCTCAGGTTACCGACCCACTGCCAGTGGAAATAATTTCTCCTTGTTCACCCTATCAAATCCCCTCATAATTTTGAAAACTTTGATTAAGTCTCCTCTTAACCTTCTCTGCTCCAAGGAGAATAATCGTAGCTTCTCTTGCCTCTCCTGATAACTGAAGTTCCTCAACCCTGGTACCATCCTGGTAAATCTCCTTTTTACCCTCTCCAATGCTTTGACATCTTTCCTAAAGTGCCCAGCACTAAGCATAATATTCTAGCTGAGGTCTAACCAGTGTTATATAAAGGTTCATCATAACTTCCTGACTTTTGCATTCTAGGCCCCTTTTGCATTCACCACCATTCTCTGCTTTCTGTCTCCCAGCCAGTTCTATATCCATGCTGCCACTGTCCCTTTAATACCGTGGCTTTTATTTTGCTTACAAGTCTCTTATGTGGCACTTTATCAAACGCCTTTTGAAAATCCATATAAACTACATCAACTGCACTACCTTCATCCACCCTCTCTGTTACTTCATCAAAAAAACTCTATCAGGTTTGTTAGACATGATTTGCCTTTAACAAATCTGGGTTGGCTGTCCTTTATTAACCCATATTTTTCTCAGGAAAAAATTATTTTGTCCAGGATTATAGTCGCTAGAAGTTTTCCCACTACTGATGTTAGGATGACTGGCCTGTAGTTCTCCGATTTATCCTTCTGCCCCTTTTTGTACAGGGGAGTAACATTTGTAACCCTCCAGTCCTCTGACACCACCCCAGTGTCCAAGGAGGATTGAAAGATTGTGGTCAGAGCCTCCGTTATTTCCATCTTTACTTCCCTCAGTAACCTAGGATGCATCCCTTCCGGACCGGGTGACTTATCTACCTTAAACACCGACAACCATTTTAGTGCCTCCTCTCGGTTTTTTCTTATCTTATCCAATATCTCTACCTTCTCCTCTGATACTGTGGTATTGGTTACATTTTCTTCTTCTGTGAAGACAGATGCAAAGTATTCATTCCGTATGTCAGCCATGCCCTCTGCCTCCACAAGAAGATTTCCTCTTTGGTCACTAATTGGACCCACCCTACCTTTGACTAACCCTTTATTCTTTATATGCTTATAAAATACCATAGGGTTCCCTTTTATGTTATCTGCTAATCTTTTCTCATACAATCTCTTTGCCCCTCTTATTTTCTTTTTCAGTTCTCCTCTGTACTTTCTATATTCTATTTGATTATCTTCTGTATTTTGCACCTGCCATTTATCATAAGCCTCCTTTTTATGTTTTACTTTAATCCCAATTTCCTTAGTCATCCAGGGAGTTTTGGATGTCCTGCCTTTCCCCTTTGTGGGAATGTATTTGTTCTGTCCCTGAACTATTTCCTGCGTGAAGGTTCCCATTGCTCATTAGCTGTTTTACCTGCCAATCTTTCTTTCCAGTCCACCTTGACTAGGTCGCTTTTTAACTCACTGAAATTGGCCCTCTTCCAGTTGAGTATCTTCACCTTTGATTGTTCCTTGTTCCTTTCCATAAGTACTCTAAACCTATTGATGTTGTGATCACTGTTGTCCAGATGCTCTCCTACTGAAACCTGCTCCACTTCATTCCCCAGAACTAGATCCAGCACAGCTTCCTTCCTCATTGGGCTGGAAACATACTGATCCAGAAAGTTATCCTGCACACATTTCAGGAATCCTTCCCCCTCCTTGCCCTTTACACTGTTATTTTGTCAGTCTGTGTTAGGATAACTGAAGTCCCCCATTACCACTACTCTATTGGTTTTGCATCTTTCTGAAATCTGCTTGCAGATTTGCTGATCTATCTCCTTCCCACTATTTGGTGGTCTGTAATATATACTTAACAGAGTGCAGCTCCTTTTCTGCTCCTTAACCTTAACCAAATAGGTTCTGTTTCAGACCATTGCCTCTGTTTTTGGTCCCTTTCCTGGGCCGTATCCATGTCTTTAAACAATATTGTCACACCCCACTCCATTTTTTACCTCCCTATCCCTCCTGAATATATTGTAGCCACAAATATTCCCATTCCTGCCCTTGTTTGAGCCAGATCTCCATTATTGCTACTGCATCATAAGCCCATGTGGCAACTTGAGCCTGCGGCTCATCAATCTTATTTGTCACACTCCGTGCATTTACACACATGCACTCCAAGACTGATTGTGTCTTCTCTGCATTTTTCCCCTGTCTAATCCCTCCTTTATTGGACTAGTCCTTATTACATTGCTTTTCGTGGAGTCCTGTAGCTCAATGGTTAGAGCACTCATTTTGCAAGTGAGAGACCTGAGTTCAATTCCAGGCAGGGCAAAACCTTGGGCAAGTTTCCTTACTCCACACACCGAATAATAATCCCTCCAAAACCCAAAACAATAATAAATTGGTCATTTTCAATCTACGCCTGTTTGTGGGACATTGCTGTACGCAATTGGCTGCCACGTTCACCTACAAATATACAGTCAATTCACTTTACAGTGTGTTCTGTGAAGCGCTTTGGGAGGTCCTCCTGATGTGAAAAGCGCTATATCAAATGCAAGGATTATTATTATTATTATTCATCTCTCCCAGTCCTCTATGTAACTTGCTTCCCCTCCTTGATGCTGTATCCTGATTCCCTTCCCCCCTCGAAATTAGTTTAAAACTTTGCCCACAGCGCTAGTTAACCTTCCTGTGAGGACATTGATCCCAGTCCTGTTTAGGTGTAACCCCTTCACCATGTTGCGGTTCCACCTGCCCCAGAACTGGTCCCAATGTTCCAGGAACCTGAAGCCCTCCTTTCTGCACCATTTATCCAGCCATGTATTCGTGTGCTTGATCCTGCTGTTTTGATAATCACTTGCACGAAACAATGGGAGCAATTCAGAGATCACCACCTTTGAGGTCCTATTCTTTATCTTTTTCCATTGCTTCTGATATTCTCCCTGTAGGATCTCAGCCCTTTTTTCCCTGACATCATGGATCTCAACATGGACAACAACTTCTGGATGTTTCTCTTCCCCCTGTGTGATGTTTAGTACCTATTCCATGATGTCTTCAACCCTGGCACCAAGGAGGCAACATACCATGCGAGTGTCACGTCTTTGGTTGCAGAAACATCTGTCTACTCCTTTCACCATTGTGTTCCCAATGACAATTGCATTGATACTCTTCCCTGTGTCCCCCTGTGCATCCATTTGCTTTTGACTCCTTTCCCCAACAGTGTCATCACCCTCACTGATATTCAGTACAGAGAACCTGTTTGTGAATGCCACACACTCAGGGGATTTCTGCATTTCCTACCAAGCCAGGTGGTCACCCACCCACTCTCCTTCTGAACCTTCTATGACTGTGGGGTGACCACCTCCTGAAACATTCAATCCATGAACTCTTCTGCCTACCGTATGCTATGTAGCTCAGGGTTTTTGAGCTTGAGGAGAGACTTACATATTTTATAATTATGCACCTCTTTCCCACTCATACCAGCCTCTCTTCAAGCTCAGAAACCCTGAGCTCAAGCAGCCAGAGGCACTTCCTACACATGTTTATCCAGGGCACACAAAGCGTCCTGGAGTTCCACATGGCACACATTGTGCATGCAGCCAATCTCAGCTGCCCTGCCATATTTCCAGATATGTTTTATATTATTTTAATATAACTTTTACATATTTTATAAATATGCACTCTTTCCCACTCTAACCAAATTCCTTAACAGAATTATCACTCTGCTCTACCTCAATCAGTTCCCTTTACCATGCTACTGGGCTCTTTGCTCAAGTGAGGCTCTTGCAAGTCCTCTGCTTTATATAGGACTCAAACAAAAACACCCAGTTTTGACTGGTCAGCAAATTTATTAATCCCAACACCTGATCTGTGGTTAACTGCTAATTGACTTGTTTGCCTGCTTACATATATGGTTGCCTCTACGTTGAGAAAGATTTCCCACTCATCTGCTGAATGAAAGAGTTCTCTCTTGGTCTCT